CTAATAAACTTGCTATTTAAAACAGAACCAAACTTCAGGTCATGAAATGGCTCCCTTCACATTGGGTGTTGACTCTTGCTAGCTCTCCAAAGCTTCCTGGAGAATAGCTACAAGACTCAAGGCCCTGCAAAGCTTGATGGGAAAGCATCCTGTGATCAATGGGCCATGTCTGCTGAGAACCCTGGAACTGGGGCTAGGCATACATGTAACCAATGATCCACATGACCACCAATGACCCACCAATGAGCTAGTAGTTACCTGGAGAACAGAGAGGGTACCACGGAAGAACAAACTTCCTGAATCTCTCCAATAGGATCCTTTGATGCTGGTAGAGGAGAATCTTCTGGTCTTTTCTTCCCATCGCAGAATGCAGAGCGAGGGCCCCAGGCATATCCCCCCCCCACACACACACACATACACACAAAGGGAGGCATGATTTGGGACGGACTCAGTGGTATGCTGGGCTTTGTTTGAGGATCCCTAAGACCTGTCCTGAGGCTCAGCTGTCAGGTACCCAGGACACTGCGGCACAGGCAACCCACCCTGTGACACAGCCTGCTCCGTTCACAGCCCACCTCTCAGTCCACAGCCTAGTGTATTAATCTTTCTGCCACTGCTTTGATCTCTCCTCTCAATAGCCCACTAAAAGGTTCCTGTACACATACCCTATAGACGAGAGACATTCTCATAAACGGGTCTTTCTAGGGGTGTGAGGTGGGGGATGTCTGCTGGCACTCTGTTAACATCTTATCCTGGAAGTTTCTACTACTTCCTTTCCCAGGGATTCCCCAAGGTGGAAGAAATGAGTCACAGGGAACGGGAGGGTGGGTCATCGACACTGGTCTCTTTATCTATACAGTGGGGTAGGATAGTGGCAGGCACTGCAGAGTGGGGAGGATGGGAGGTGCCATCCTGGTCATATATGTGGCCTTGGTGCATCCTATGAGCCACTCTAAGGGACAATACAGCAAGGGTACTGGGAACAGTATTGTAACTGGGGTGGGAGCCTATCTGGCTTCCCTCAGAGTCCACAGGCCAGGGGCTGCAGGACACTGCCCCACCCCTAGCCTCCAAGCTGAATTTGGCTGTTTTTAATCTCAATCCTGCCTCCCCTCCCCAACTCCCTTTACCCCTCTCTCCCCTACCTCCTGCCCAGTCTAGCCTAGGTGTCATCTGATTTTCTCCATTTGGGACATTCCAGTTTCTTTCTTCACAGCAAGGAAACCAACTGTCAGGCAGCTGGAGTGCTCATTAAGGGTCCCACACCACAGAGAGGCGCTGGCAGGAAATCAAACCCAACCTCCCATCCCCAGGTCTTCTCCTAGTGGTGACCCAAACACCAGTATCCGGGAGCCCCTCGGATCTGACCTTCCTCACTTCTACCCAAATGTCCTTTCCTACTGGGTCCTTTTGCTTGGCCTACCCTGCCAGCCCCCTCCTTCTCAGACCTACAAACCCAGTCTCTGTCTTCTGCATACTTCTGTGTCACCCTGGATTTCAGGGGACTGGCAGATCACCACACAGGACCCTTCTGAAGTCCCTCTCTCCTCTTTTAAGGAGAGGCTCAGGTTCATCTGCTCCAGGAATTGCTACCCCAGGATGCTGGAGCCCTTCTCTGGGGCATCATCACCTCCTGTTGGTTGGGCCATTCCTTCATGCATCTTGCTGTCTACCACCTCCTGAGGGTCTCACAGCAGTCCCAGAGTGCACTTGGAGCCCGGATTTAGCAGCCAAGAAACCTAACTGCAGGGGGTGATGAGGCCCATTCTAGGCCCCCCAGCAGCAGGGGATTTAATCTTAGTCTCTCAAGTTTCTAGCTCCCTGAGTCAACATAAGGGCGGGGATTCCCCAACCCTTTCACAAATCTGTTCTAAAATAAAACTACATGGCCCTTTCTCTCTCATCCTGGTCTAGCCTCATCCACTTTTTTTTTTTCGAGACAGAGTTTCTCTGTGTAGTTCTGGCTGTCCTGGAACTCACTCTGTAGACCAGGCTGGCCTTGAACTCAGAAATCCGCCTGCCTCTACCTCCCAAGTGCTGGGATTAAAGGCGTGCGCCACCACCGCCCGGCCCACTTTTATTTTTTTTTAGTTAAAATTATTCATCATCACTGTGTGTGCATACAGGTGCTCTAGCTTCAGTCTGTATACACATGCACTCCTGTGCTAGAATATAAGTAAGTCTGTGGGTTCTGATTAAACTCCGGTCCTGAGGCTGGTGCAGTAAGCCCTCCCACCCACTGAGCCCTCCCATCAGGGCTCACCCTCTCCTGTCTTGTTCTTTGCTTAGACGTGGGGGAATAACCCTGGGGAAGGAGAGACAAAGGGTAGGTCCAGCTCTAGTTTCTCTGAAGACACTTCCACAGACTCCACAGCTGCCTACTGTGTTTAATCTTAACCTGACTGAATCAAGTAAAGCCTAGAAGATCTGTGAGAGTAATTCTGGAAAGGGTTAAATTAATACAGAAGAGCCTGCCAGAGCTGCACCTGCAGCTGGAAGGACGCAGAGAGTTGTTCTGGCCCTTCCTACCAGAAACACTGAAACCTCCAAACCGTGAGCCAACGTAAGCCCTTCTCTCCAGTGTTGTTCTGGGCACGCTAGTTTTTGTCACAGTGACAAGAAACTCCGCTGCCCAGCCAGTCACCAGCTCCCCTGTCTGCCAAGTGCTTTCCGTGAGACTAGAGTGCCTGACGGACTCCAGTTTGGTTTTTTTATTTAATTCCAATAGAATAAGTCACATAGGTTAGTGATTACTGTATGAGACCAGGTGACCTTTGAGTGCCCCTCCAGCAGCCCCCTAGACTGCAGACCCTGTATTTGCCAGATTCTGTGACAGGAAGCTCCCTCCAACACCCCCAGACGACTGCCTCCAGGTGTCCTCACCCCCGGCAGCTACCAAGTCCACTGTAGCCCTGTCCCCAACATCTCCCCCAGCCATGGTCCCAAACAGCGTCCTGTCGCCTTAATTCCCATTTGAGGGACATAAACATTTTCCATTAAGTCCTTTGGTAGCTCCCCATTTCGCCATCTAGCGGTCTCTTAGGCCCTTGTTGACCTGCATCTAGCCCTGACTTCAACTATGCCATCTCCCCAGTTCCCATCACATCATTCACGTCATTCTCAGACCCAAGTCAGCCCCGCCCCCACCTCTAGCTCCATCCTCCAGAACCTGTTTCCTGGGTGGTGGGGGAGTTGTCTTAGCACAAAGCCTGGTGCTCACCCCCTTGTACCAGGCAAACTCCTATTCACGCCGGGTCTTGCCCTGAACATCACTTCCTCAGGAAGCCTACCTTATGCTGTATAGAAGACATTTCCTGGCCAATTTTCCTCCATTATTGTAACGTTTCCCTCCAGACATGGTGTCTACTCATTTTCTTTCTATGTCCCACTCAAGTTCCGGAAGACTGAAGTGTAAGTTCCGGAAGACTGAAGTGTTCCCCAGGGGCAGTTGTCCCCCACCCCTCCTTCTGCAGCTAGCTCTCAGCAATGGTTATGGGGTAGAGGCTTAGCTCTAACACTGGATGTCATCATATAGCCCCGAACAACCTACTGCCCATCTCAAGAACTCAATTTTTCCCCTCTGTAAAACGAGACTACTTCTGATCATTTTTGGGGTGCTTCTCAGTTCTAGAGGCCAAGGTCAAAACAGTCAGGAGGGTAAACACGAGCTTCTGGTTGAAGCAGGGAACTCTACATGAGAGACAAACGGGAGGCCTGGAGACCCAGCACAGGGAGGGGTGGATGCATAAGAGGAAGTGTTTGCCACCCTCATCACGGTCCACACGGTGCCCTTCCCCGACTCAGCCAACTAGCCAGAGCCCAAGCCCAGGGAACTGTGGGGCCTGACTGAGCGTTCTTAGTTCTGTCCAGTCATGGCAATGGGCTGTAGCAGCAGGCATAGAACACCCACTATGCTGTGGCCTGTGACTTCCCCCATGGGGCCATCTAGGGAATTACTATAAAAGAAGCACCCCAGAGAAACCTAACTGCAGAAGACCCAACCTTGTTAGATCTGGCTAACACTTGCCATCGTTCTGTAAGCTCAGAGAGGTTAACACTATGTGTTCCAGTTTGCACAGCATCCAAATAAATCCCAAGCTGGGTACAAAAGCCCAGAGCTGCTTGCTGGCTTTTCAGCTGCACCCGTTTGGTTGTCTCCCACACACCTCCCACTGTGCGGTACAGATTCTCTTCGGCCGCCAGCCCACTCCATCTTGTGGTGCTCTGCTTTCCCTCCTTATCTCCCACACCCACACTCCGCCCCACTGGAGTCTGCGTTTCCCGCTTCCCCAGGGAGGATGCCACTGCCATGCCCACCCTCAGGATCCACCCAGCGAAGACACACATTAGTAACTTGTGATCTACCTGGGAAGAAGGACATTTAGGGACAAGAAGAAAGAGCTGCATCCTTTTCCCAGTTGCAGGGATGGAGTTAAGACCATTTCAGAGGCCACAGCCGGAAGGACCATAGGTTAACGGGACCCTGAGGAGAACGGAGCCTGGCAATTCAAACTTGGGCCCCAGGGGCCAGAAACAGCAAACGGACTAGCAAAGTGCAATCCGCGTCAGAAACTGTCCCTTTACGTCCTTAAATGGCTCACTCTCTTGTCCTGCTTCCAAATGTGACCATAAAAACCAGACAGCACCCACCCTCGTGGAGCGGACAGGACCACCAGAGGCCCCGCAAGCGCTCCCCAGACTCTTTCATGCAACTAGCCCAGGCGGCCTCTGCGCACCTTTTGCGCGCCCTGCTTTCCTCCACCTGACCGCCGCGCGTGTAGGGCGCCCCCAGCGCAAGACCCCAGTGTCTCCGGGAGCTGGGAGGTCCCGCGTACGCCCATCTCTGGCAGCTCAGCGGCGATGCCTGCCCACAGTTCTAGTACAGGCAACCTGGGCGAGCGTGTAAAAGAGCGCCAGCCCGCACCGGCTCCTGAAGTCCCGGGACTGCGCGAGGGGGCGCCTCGGGGTGGGGATAAAAGGCAGCAACAAAGGGCACAAACCTCGTCCAGCAGTTGGTTGACTCGTCCCAAAATAACTTTCTCCATCTGCTGCTCCCCGCGCTCCGCTTCCAGGCGCAACACTCTGGCCTGCAGCTCGGCGGTCCGAAAGTGGGCGAGCAGGCTGAGCGCCAGCGAGCACAACGCCAGAGCCAGCAGTCCGCAGCACCCAGGGCTCGGCAGCCTAGCGCACTGCTCAGCCAGCGCCACTGTCCCGGGCCCTGGCGCGCCCAGCTCCCCGGGGCCGCGGTTGCCAGAGGCTGCCGCTTTGCGGGCGCGCTCCGCCACCATCCCCTCACGTCTTGAGAGCCAATAAATAAATAAATAGAATAAATAAAAAGGAGATCCAAGAGGCGCGATCCAAACTGAGAGGCAAGGGGAAAGGGGGCTAGCGTGGCTAGAGGACGTCCCTTTCCTTTGCTCGCCAAAGAGGACCGAAAATCAGCAGTCGGAGTGGGGGGGGGGGCAGCCAAGAGCCACCAGCAGACGCGATCGGGGTACTCCAAAGTAAGAAAAAAGTTATTTCGAAGAATGTCCCAAATCCGGAGATCTGGCCCCGCTCCCTGCTTTTTCCCTTCTCGCCTCTGCAGAGTCCTCGGGCTGGTGCGACGCTCGGGATCCTTCTGGGTGTTTTGTGTCTCCGGGGAGAGCGGGTGTCAGTCCCCGGGCGAAGGGGCGCACATGCAGGGCCCCATGGGCAGAGGTGGGTCGTGGCTGCAGCGAGCCGCACTGGGGCCGATTCCGGCGCCTCTGTAACTTGACACAGCCGGCGCGGCCGCGCGGATCGGATGAGCGCCGGGCGCTACTTCCCAAACTAATCTCCCGCGCCCCTCCCTCGCCCTCCTCCCGCTCCTCCTCCGCCTCCTGCGGGGCCGCGGCTGGGGTTTGTTTATTTATGCAAAGTCGCCTGGGATGGGGGGCGTGGTGTGTGGGGGCCCGCAGACCTCGGTAGCCCCCGTCCCGGGCTCCTGGTGCCCTTTGAAGTGACACTTGGGGTTATTTATAGGCGAGGAGGGGGTGTGGGGTGGAGCGGGAGGCTACACGCCTCTTCCTTTCCAGAGATTCACACTCAAGATCTCAAAGACATAGGGACCCGGAATCATAGCACCCTGCTTTCCCAGGGACTCGGGGATCCTCCTGGCACCCAATACACCGCACCACAGCACTCCCCTTTCCCAGGGCCTCAGGAACCCTCTGGCAACCTGTTGAATCACTGTCAGGGCGCCTGCATGGTCCTGTATGTCCCGAATTGGGAGATCTGACTACAGCAGACACTCTCTCCATCACTGGTTTCTATCCAGGGCTCCGCTCTTTGCAGGTGTCTGTCTCTAGTGGGACCATGCCACCAACCACGGATTCACTCAGAGTAGAAAACCCAGGGGCAGCGATATCGACGCCCCTTTTCTCTTTCAGGACTAGATCTAAAGAACTACAGAACAGAAATTCATCAAGGGTCACGCCCACCGCCCAGGTTTATCCTAGAATGTCCAACAGGCGCGGGGGTGGGGGTGGGGTTCTTATTTATGTTGATCTGAGACCCATCTCAGACTAGACGACCTAGGAGTGCAAGCCATCAAAGGCGGGCAATTCTCATACACTCACACTCCGTCTCCCCTTACCCCCCTCAAAGCTAAGCCTAAACCGCCTGCGTGGCTTCCTCGTCTGTAGAAGAGCTAGTGACCTTTGGGTATTCTGCATTTGGTATTTTCCTCTTTTTTTTTTTTTTAACCTGCCCGGCTACTACAAGTGACCTCTGTCAGTAGAATTCTTATTTCCTTGTGTCTCTAGACATTCCTGCAAAGGAGGCTGAAGCATCGGGCAGGGGAGGGTAGGCTGGCCCTTGAACTGTGAATCAGAAGTGTGTGTGGGTGGGGGTGTGTGACAGAGGTGTGGGAGTGAGCGTCCTTTCCTAGTACCAAAGCAAACTTTACATTTTGCGTGTTGACCAGTGAGAAGGAGCTTTACATGCAATGCAAACGTTAGTGTGTCGTGCACATCTACGGAATGGGAGCTTGTCATACAAGTTCTAATGTAGACTTAGTGTGAGACTGACTGCTAGGTAGTTAGATACCACGGAGAACTACAGGGCTAGAAAGCAATGCTGCGGACAGGGCTGCTGCCCAGGAAGTCTCAGTGTCAATATTTCCTTGACGTGTCTCATTAACAAACAGGCCTCTGGGGCCCCAACCTGGTGGTCAAGGGATATCTGCTCCCAGCACGAATGCCTGAGAACACAGTGCCATTCAGGACCACGAGGGGGCGCCAGAGAGTTTCTCGGCTGCAGGAAATTGAGCGAGTTGAGGCTTCTTCAACACCTTGTCCCCCGGTCAGTCTGAAAGGTGGCTTGAACTGAGGTGTTCAAGTCACTGAGCTGACGCGGCAAAACTGAAACCATTTGGGGCTGCAGTATTTTTGAGATTGGGGTTTCAAGGCTCAGGTAGCCTTGGTATGGTAGCCTGAGCTGAGCCCAGCAATGGAAAAAAAAAATGTCGAAACCCAAGGCTCTGAGAGACTCCATGCAGTAAGAAAAACCAACGAAAAAAAAGCCCTTTTCCAACAGTGGGTTTAAAATAAACCAGGTGAAGGGGTACGAATCTGTAATCCCAGCACTTGGGAGACAGAGGCAGGAGGATGGTAAATTCCAGGTCATTCATGGCTACATGGTGAGTTTGAGGGCAGCGTGGGCTATATGAGATTGTTCCCAAGAAAAGCTAAATAAATAAAATGGGCTTATAATAAAGGATCTAGATTATTTTCAGAAGGATTTAAAGAAGAGGTGACTGTAAAGCAAACAGAAGGCACTTAGTAAGTAAGGAGCATCTCATAGGAGTTCGTGGCTGCTGGTGCTGACTGACACACACACCCCTGCTCCCTCCTCCATCTACAGAATGGCAACAAATTGGACCCAGGAGGACAAGATAATATCAGCTTCCCACCCTCTCAGTATTTATTACTTACTCTGGCAGGGAGGGGCCTAGTGAATCTGGTCAGTTTCAGGGACTTCCTGAAGCTCATTTGAGTTGTTTACCTTCCCGATTAAGGAGCTTTCAATGTTTCAATCCAGGAGGAAACTGTTACCCAACTAGGTAAGCCTGCACCTCTTCATAGCTGGAGGGAGTTTTGCAACAAGCAAGCCTTTGCCTTACCTTTCCTTCTGCATTCTTTCAATGTCTTCTTCTGGAGTTTTGTTTTGTTTGTTTTTTGTTTTTTTGTGATAGTTTGGTTTGGTTTTGGTTTTTTCATGTTAGGCATCAACCCCTTGGATCAATGTTGCAGAAAAATTAGTCTTGGTTTGTATCCTAGAATCTAGGGAGTCGGAGGTGAGAAGCAGCTAAGCCATGTCCACACCTAGCTGATACATAAAGCCAGGCAGTGGAGAGCCATGAATGAGAAGACGCTGAAGAAGGACCTTCAGGGATGTCCAGGCAGTAGTACAGGGATGTGTTGGTCTGGAAAAGGTCCCTAGGAATTTCAGCTTTGCAGCAAAATAGGGGGCCTCCACTCCTAACCAAAGAACTTGACTTTGATCTAGAATCACAGCTTGTTGGGTAACAGTTTCCTCCCAGATTGAAACATTTCAGGCTAATAAGGAAAAAAGCAAGTTGAACCCCAGGCTTGCTCTGATTTGGCTTCTTGACTGGACACAGCGTGACTGAATGCCACGTGGTCTTGCTAGCATGCTTTCCCTGACATGATGACATACTCTCAAAACTCTGGGCCCAAACCAAACCTTTCCGTCCTTAAGTAGTTGTTGTCAGGGAGTTTGTCTGCAGCCACAAAAAAATAAGGAATACAGGAAGTAACCTTCTTCCTTGGCTAAAGGGATGGAGTCCAAGACGGAGTCAAAGACTGGCCAATTCAGGTCCACCAGAAAGAGGTGGGTGGGATGGGTGGGACAGAGTTTCTTCGGGAAGAACCTGAACACACGGCCCTCAGGATTTCAGGGCATTGTGGCCTTGGCTAGGTAAGAGGAAGCCAGAGTTGAGAATCTTAGGCTTGAGATATTTTTGAGTCCTTAGTCTCTACTAAACTGGAGGCTCATCCATGCCTGAACTCTCCCAACCGTGAGTCAGGTCTGTTCAAGCCAGTTTAAGCTGGATTACACATATGTCCACCCACCTCTACCTAGGAAACTTTTAGAGATTCGTGGCAGATCAGAAAAGCCCACATTCCCATCATGCTCCTGGAAGGCCCCACTTGTCCAGGAGTTGGAGGGGCCTCGAGGGTGGGGCCACTGCTCTTCCCATCCCTCACTGTGGTGAGGATGGGGGTTAGTTCCTATGTCCTCCTGGGCTGGTTTCTGTCCCACAGAACCCCCAGCTCACATGCCCCTGTTTGTCTCACCCAGATGCCCTCCTGGGTCTCTGAGAGCTCCCCTTCCTCTCCTCCACTGAGCCTCTTCCTCAGTTCTTTCTGCTTTTCTTCCCTCAGCTGGAGCCATCACTGGTACCCTGTGGCTTCTGCTGGATGCTTGATCTCTCTCACAATGATCTTGGCCCATGTGGTCCTGGTAGCTGACATCACTTGATTTGGCCCAAAACCCACTTTTTACCCAGGCCCAACGCTCTCCCCTGTAGTATCCATGTCAGGCTAAGCTAAGCTAAGCAGGTCCAGACTGAGAACTTGCCAGACCTTCTGGTCCATGTTTCTTTCCAGGCCTCATGGTCCCCAGCAGAGTCCTATGTGGAGGTTACATGGATGAACATGGATAGCTTTGAGGTCCTGCTTCTGAGTCCTGTGTGGGGTGAGCTAAAAGGGAGAAAGGGCCTGGACTCTGTTGGCTTTGTGGAGTCCAGTTACTAAATGAGATGGTAAACTTTTACCGTAGCATGCGGGAATCACTGTCTAGGGGCTAAATTCTATCTGTCTCAGTTAGGGTTTTACTGCTGTGAACAGACACCATGACCAAGGCAACTCTTAGAAGGACAACATTTAATTGGGGCTGGCTTACAGGTTCAGAGGTTCAGTCCATGATCACCAAGGCAGGAGCATGGCAGCATCCAGGCAGGCATAGTGCAGGAGGAGCTGAGAGTTCTACATTATGTTCCAAAGGCAGCTAGGAGAAGACTGAATTCCAGGCAGCTAGGATGAGGGTCTTAAGGGCCACTCCCACAGTGGCACACTTATTCCAACAAGGTCACACCTACTCCAACAAGGCCACACCTCCTAATAGAGCCACTCTCTGGGCCAAGCATATTAAAATCACCACACTATCTTAACTTTCCTAGCTCTATCCATGTCTGGCTTCTCAGAAGTTGGGAGTTTCCAAGTCAGGCAGGTGGGTCCTTGAAGCACACCCTAAAAAGGGTGGTGGGCTTGAACAAGAAAGCAAGTGGTGCATGGGTGGGTGGATTTGAGTCCCAGCTCTCTCTTGATACCTCTTAGCTGGTGCCTCTGTCCTCTTATGGGACACACTGGTTGAAGACAGAAGGGAAAGGACAGTGGAATGTATAGGAGCCCAAAATCCACTCATCCACCAAATATACATGGAGCCCTTTCTGGGGCAAGGCTCTATGATGGGGTTGGAGACACAGCCGTGGACAAGATGGGTTCATGTCTGGGTGACACCATTGGATATGACAATGCAGAACACAGCAGGCTCGGGAAGGACTGAAAAAGAGGGGTCCTTGTAAGACTTGCAGAGTAAGACCTGAAAAGTAAGCAGAATAGCCCCCGAAGGGGTACAGGGAGAGCATGTCAAGCAGAGAGGCCTGCCTTGCAAAGGCCATGGTATTGAGGAAG